AAAAAAAAAAAAAAAAAAAAAGTACAAACATGGAAGCTGAGGCCCAGAGGGATGAAAGTCCTCACCCAGGGTGACATCACAGCACCAGGGTTCAAACCCAAGAATTGCTCACTCCAGAGCCCTCACTTCACCCCTGGACCTCCCTAAATATTCCCTGCATTGCCCTTTCTCTGGTGACACCAGGCCCTTCTGTGCAATTTAGTACCGGGAATCAAACTCAGGACATTGCACTTGCCAGGCAGGCGCTTGTGCCACTGAGCTATATCCCCGGCCCTCCTGTGCAATTTAAACAGGCCACACTGTTCATTCATTCATCCCCTTCCACAATCAGCTGAGCTCCTCCCTTAGGCTGTGCAAGACGTAGGAACTTCTATGGGGCAGCAACTATGTCATCTCTGCTCATCGTGGCATCCCTAGTACCTGGCACATGAACTACCAAGTGCTTGTTGCATGGATGGGTCAAGGTGAGGATGTCCAAGGCATGGGTTTTTCTGGAAGGAGCTTCCAGGTGTCACTTTCAAGGGAAGGTATGCCTTTTCTTGTGTGGATTAAAAAAGAAAAGAAAGCCCAGAGTATCTTGTGGCATGGAGAAGCCTTGGCTTTTGAGAGGTGGCATTGTTGGCCACCTGTTTGTCCCAGTGGGACACCAGTCTTAATGTTGGAAAACAGGATGGAAGGCAGCCCCACTGGAAATGCTGTGGTCCTCCCTACCTGCTCCTCCTTCTGCCACTCCAAACTCACTCATCTCCTCCAAACTCACTCATCTCCTGCCACTCCAAATTCACTCATCTCCTGAAGGGCAACTCCTTCATCCCTCCAATCAGTCCATCAGCAATAACTGAGTGTCTGCTGTGGGTTGGGCAGGTGCTGGGGACCTGCAGGAGGAGGTCAGTGTACAAAGATCTAAGACGCAGCCTCTGCCCTGCAACACCAAGTCCAGGGGAGCGGTGACTCACCTGCTCAGTGGCCCAGGAGGCGTCAGTGGAGAGGCTGGGGCATGAATGGGCTTTACGTAGCATCTGGAGGGGATGTGGAGGCTCTTGAAAGACTCAAGGCTGATTCCATATTCAAGGCTTTATAACATTATACATTGTAGTGTTGTTGCAGTGCTGGTTAATTAATGTTCAGTACTCATCTAAGTCACCAGGCCTGCCTGCCTGCCTCTCTTTCCCTTTCTCTCTCTCTCTCTCCCCCTCTCCCCCTCTCCCCACCCCCTCTCATCTTGCTAAGTAGTTCAGGTTAGCCTTGAACTCACTATGTAAACCGGGCTGACTACGAACTTGGAAAAATCCTCCTGCCTCAGCCTCTCAAGTGCTGGGATTACAGGAACGTGCTACCATATCTGGCATCCAAGTCTCAGTTTCAACGCAACACTAATGCTCAGTGATCCCTTCTCACCTACAGAGAGCAGGCTTCAGAGTCTAGGAATTCTGGGTCTAGGACCAGCTCAGTGATATTGGGCACTGCCCCTCTCTGAGCCTCAGTTTCCATCTCGGCCCTTCGGGATTGTAAGGACAATAAATGGACAACAAGTGTTATCTTCCTCTATAAACCAACAGGCAGTCAGGTTCTCTTGCCTGCTCAAAGATGACTGAGAACCAGGTGACTCATGAAATCGGGACAGGAGGAGTCCCAACAGGCAGGAGTCGCAAATGGGTGTTGTCACTGCCATACCTAGTGCCCTGCTGTCCTGAGTGAGAATGCTCTAAGCTTAGCGGAAAGAAGTTAGAATAGTTGTTTGGATGAGATTTGTTTACTCTTTTTTTTGGAAAGTGCTCCTCCAGCCACGCCCCCAGCCGCAGTTGAGCTCTTCCTCAGCCCCCACCAGGCTCAAAAGGAGCCTCAGGGGCAGCTCCCTGCAAACGCAGCTTCCTCCCACCCCACCGTCCCAGGCTGCCACCCACTGCTGGACACCTAGGAGCCTCCTGGCTTCTGTTTCCCAAGACCCTACGCTGGGGCCGCAGCTCCCTGGCGATTCCTCCTTTCTTTCCCAGCCCTCGCCAGCACTGTGGGTGCACAGAAGACCCCAGACCGGCCCGGGCTCCACCACCAGCTCCCTGTGACCCTGGGCAAATCACGTCACCTCTCTGGGCCTGTTTCCCTCTATAAATGGGCATGCACCTAGGTCAGAGGTCACTGGTGAGGACTTGCACACACAACACGGAGAAGCTTCAGCAGCGCTAGGCACAGAGGAGGCCAGGGAGGTGACAGCCTGGGGCACCAGCATCGCCCTCCACTCCATGCTCCTGAGTCTGGCCTCCCCTCCTGCCTCTGCAAACTTCCTTCCCCAGCCGGTCAGGGTCGCACTGTCACCCCACTGGGAGGCGCGAGAGGCAGGGCGGGCGGGAGCGCGCGAGCCGGGGACCGGCGCCCGCCCGTCACTCACCTGGGCGCTGGCGCGCGTCCTCCTCTGACCCCCACCCAGGCTGCCGAGGGGGGGACCTGGCGCCCGCCCTTACCCGAGAAGATCAGCCCGTTCCCGGTGAGCAGGGCGGCTCCCACCGGGAAATGGCTGTAGGGGCAGTAGGCGGACTTCTTGGCCTCCCGGGAAGAGAGCAGCAGGCGCCGGACGTGGTCGGGGTCCAGGGTGCAGGAGGGACGGTCCTGGGCCATGTCGTCCAGACAGGCCCGGAGCTGCGGAAACGCGATCTGGCCTGGCGGTGGGCTGGAGCCGGGCCGGGAAAGGTAGCTCCTCCCCTGGGGTGTGTCCTGCGCCAGGCCGAGGCCGGAGCTCCCATGCTGGCGGGGTGCCCTGCAGGTGGAGGTCCCCGAGAGGAGGTCCCATGTTTGGGGCCGGCGGGTGTGGCGTGTAAGACTGTGCCGGTGAGTGTCGTTGTGCCCACGTGTGCTCCGTGTGCTCCGTGCTCTTCCGGGACGCGCTCACTGCCCACACGCGGATGGGCTAGGGGCTGAGGGCCCGAGGGCCCGAGTCCGCGGGGGTGGGCCAGAGGGCGGTAGCGCTTTCTCAGAGACGGCTGTAGACACGTTTCTCAGGGAGGAGGCTACAGGGTGTGCAGGGGGAGACCTTAGTGGTCCAAGTTTCAAAAGTGGACGAGCTCTCAGTTTCTTGAATGATTTTTCCTCTCATTCACTGAAGGAAGGGATGAGGCTGACAGGGGAAGGCTGGGGCAGCCACGTGAGTTCCTGAGCCGGAAGGTTTGAAAAACAGCAGTTAAGAGGAAAGTGTCTCGATTTTCACTCATTCGCCTTCAACTCTGCCCCAACCCAGATTTTGAAAGTATCTCAGCTGGAGGAGAACTTTGAGACCGTAAACAGACTTTGAAGTGGTGGTAAAAGAAATGGGTTTACAGCCTGGCTCTCCTGCTTTCCACATGTATAAACTTTGGCAGGTCCTTTGACCTCTCTCAGCCAGTTTCCTCTTCGTAGTAAGCGATCGTGTCTGTTCTATGTCCTGAGATTATAGAGCTTTGGAGCAAGAGCTCAGGAGTTTAATAGGCCCAGGTTTGAGTTCCAGCTCTGCCCTTTATTAGCTGTATGACCTTAGGGAGGTCCTACCACTTCCCTAAGCCTCAGTTTCCTTGTCTATAAAATGGGTGCACAAAAAATGAGTGAGTACCTCAGTATTATAAGCATTGGATGAGTGAGCCTGGTGTGAGCACCTCTGTGACTCCACCCAAGCAGGGCTATTGCCATTAAGCAACTTGGCCAAGATCCTACAGGGAAGGAAGAACTCCAGCCAGAGCAGCCAGAGGCCCCTGATGTCCCCAGATGCACAGCAAGCCGTCACCAGTCATCAGCTTCTCTGAATGCTTCAGTGGGGACCAGGAGGGGGAAACGTAGGGTTGAGAAGGGGAAACTGAGGCAGCATCTCATGTCCTACATGCTGACATCTCTGCGTTTACATCCCAGCATCTCTTCATCTCAGACCTGGAGCGCTCAGCCACCGTACAGACTGGCTGGATGCCCAGTGGGGCCGCTGCGGAGTTGGGCAAAGCTTGCCTCATTTCTTCCTCCTTTCCCTTCTCAGCCTCAGCCCCACCGCCCAGGCCTCTGAGGACTGCAGGACCCTCTGGATTGGCACTGTGGCAGCAGGACAGGTCCGTGGGTCTGAGAGGATGCATAGCTGTCTCAGGACAGCGCCCACCCACTTGACATGGGAATGATTATAAGGCTTTCAGGGCCAAGGAATCTGTTTTTGCGGACCAAGGAAGCAGCTCTGTTCCTGTCCCCTGCCTGTTCCATCTGCCCTGCACCAGCCCCTCCCAGGCCCGGGCCTGGACTCCTGGATTCCACAGTGCTAGGAGAATTTGGGTGACCTTCTAGGCTAATTATGGCCCTTAGCACCTTTAACACTCTTTACCTCTACATGATCGCAGATGGAGTGGTGCCCACTGCAAGCCCAGTCGTATGGAACATGGGAGCCAGGGCTCTAGAGCTGCTTATGGAAGGGGCTTGGGGTGGTTATCATAGAGAAAATGGGCTTGGAATCTTCTTAGAGCCAAGTGACAGGTCAATAATAATGAGAACATTCTCTAAGTATGCTTTTATTTCACTTTATAAAAATATAAGGGAGCTAATTGCTCAGCTCAAAGAATAAGAAAGTTCAAGATGAATGCCTTCAGTGGTGGTGGAGATTACTAGGGGACCAAAGCCCACCAGCACCCCTGCCCTCAAGCCTTTTGTCCATGAGAGAAACCACCCTGAATCTCCACGTTAGAGTCCAGGTACCATTTACCCCCTTATTCATTCAGTGAACAATTATGCAGACCCTGTGCTAAGTACATTACCATGAATTATTTCATTTAATCTCACTATAAGATAGATACTATGATTGTTCATAGTTCACCGATGAGAACACTTGAGCTTATTAGAGATCAAAGTCTCAGAGACAGATCTCAAACCTGTATTTGTTTGCCATTGGGATCCTGGGCTGCTGTCTATCCCGGAACTGGAGGGGCAAGGGATTTGGATCAGACCAGCCAATTCAAATCCTCCTTTGGCCACTTGTTATCTGCTGTGCGCCTGGACCGGTGCCCCTCTTTGTCCTCTTATACCATGGCGTGATGGGAGCACTTTCCCACGGTGGGGCAGGGTGACAGGAATTTTATTCTGCTCAGAAAGGCTTCCCTTCTCTGCTAGGTTTCCCACTCACTTTCCTTGCAGGCCCTGTTGGCAGGGATAGCCAGGAAGAGCCAATCAGACACCCTACTTTTCTGCTGAATCAGTGGGAACGTTGGCATTCTCCACTGTGGTTGCTAAGATAAGAGGATGCAACTATTGCTGACAGTTAGTGTCCCTCTGGGTAGAGTAAGTTTGCTTGCAAAGTGACGCCAAGCAGAGAGAGGCAGAGCTGAGGGAGAGGGGAAGAACTTGGTTGTTCTCAGAGTGTCTGGATCCCACCATGCCTGCAGGCTTCCTTCCGGATCTCCCCTTAATTGAGCCAGTGAATTAACTTCTAGCTTAAGCTCTTTTGAATTTTATTTTTGTCAGTCCATGGCATCTAGAGTCACATACTGCTTTCGAGGAGTTTTGAGATGGTGTCTATGGCCAAACCACCCTGAACATGCCTGATCTTGTCAGATTTTTGAGATGGTATAAGCCAGGTTCTTGGCACAGTGCCTGCATGGGATAAGTGACTAACAAGTGTCAGCTCATATAGCAATGAATGCTGTGTGCCAGCCCTGTGCTGGGTGCTAGAGGATGGGCGGTGGGTGACATTTGGTACCAGCCTTTGGATGCTCACACCCTAGTAAAGGAGGCACAGATGTCAGCAGACAGCTGTAAAATAAAACACATAACGTCACTGGGTCCTGGGTCCTGTGACCACCCCAAATACAGGAGGCTGCAGGAGTCTTACGTGGTGGGTGGATGTCCACGCTGGATGAAGTGGACATAGCAAAGGCTGTCAGAGTCTCACCTGTGCCCCTATAGCCACCCACCTAAGGGGAAGATTCCCAGACTATACCCGTGGCTCCCTTCCTCGAGCAGTCCCTGGGCATGGGATTGTGCTCACCTCATGGGCAGGGCAAACCAAGAAGGGATTAACACCCTCTGGAGGGATTAGGATCTATAACATATCAGGAATTCCTAAGACCAGAAAAAGACAAACATACCAATAGAAAAGCAAGTCAAAAACTTCACATAGGGGCTGGGGATTTAGCTCAGCGGCACAGCGCCTGCCTGGCAAGCGCAAGGTCGTGAGTTCGATTCCAGGTACCGGAAAATAAACAAAAAACTTCAAGTAAGAAATGTGGGTGGAAAGAACTCACTGCAAACTTTTGAAATCTTCAGACTTGGCCTTGTGAAAATCAAGACATTGTTGAGTTAAGGACTTTGTAGACAAATCCAAAAGACAATTGAAAGCTGGGTGTGGTGGCGCACACCTGTAATCCCAGCACTTGGGAGGCTGAGGCAGGACGATCGCTGTGAATTCGAGACCAGCCTAGGCTACATAGCCTTGACCTCACTGTGTAGCCCAGGCTAGCCTTGAATTCAAGGTGATCTTCCTGCTTTAGCCTCAAGAGTGCTGGGATTATAGGGGTGTGCCACCACAACTGGTTTTCTGTTTTAAGCAAGGCTTTAATTCAGTTTTTCCATACGGATACACATTTATTTATTTTTTTTATTGTCTTTTTGAGACAGGGTCTTGCTATGCAGTTCAGGCTGGCCTTGAGCTAACTTTGTAGCCCAGGCTGGCCTTGAACTTGCAACGATCCTCCTGCCTCAGCCTCCTGAGTGCTGGGATTACAGGTGTGCGCTACCACGCCTGGCTTTATATGGATATACATTTATCATAGCATTGCTAATTAAACGTGCTCTTTTTCTCAGAGGTCCACTCTGACCATTCTGTCAAATTTCAAGTGCCTGTACGTGAAAGGGAATGATTTGGATTCTGTTAGGTTTTGTTGGTGAATTTGTGCATTCTTGTATACATCCCCTACCATTGTCTTTTTCTTCTTTTTTGTTTTGTTTCTGTGGTACTGAGGATGGAACCCAGGGACTGGTGCATGCCAGGTAAGCACCCTCCCACTGAGCTACACCTCTACCTCTTTCTTGTTTTTTATTTTGAGACAGACTCTTGCTAAATTGCCTAGCCTGGCCTTGAATTTGTAATCCTCCTGCTTCAGCATCCAGAGCATCTGGGATTACAGGTGGCTCACATCCGGCTCACACCAGTCTACTTCTAACTTTATAATAAATGTTGATTTCTGGAGGTCATAAGCTCTTACCTTTTTTTTTCCTCCCTTGGAATTTTCCCTGCTGTGTACATGTTAGAATCAGTTTTTCAGTTATCTCTGAAAACCCTCATGTTTGTCCTCTCAAAGAATTGTTGTAATATGGGAAGAGCCTATTCTTTGACATTTAGGTAGAATTTTTCTGCACAATCATCCTGAATCAGGTTTTCTTTTAAAAAAGGAGTTAGGCTTATCAATTTAATGTCTTTAAAGATTATAGAGCTATTCAGAGTTTTAATTTTGTGTCTCTCCCTTTCCTTTATTTTTTTAAATTAATTGATTTCTTTTAGACATATTTTTCTCACTATGGTGACAGGCTGGCCTTGAAGTCCTGGACTCCAGCAATCCTCCTGCCTCAGCCTCCTGAGTACCTAGGACTACAGTTGTGCTTAGCTCGTCTCTTGGCTCTGGAGTCTGTTTTAGTAAACCAGTTGTGGGTTTCCCCTAGAATTTGTCTGTTTCATCTAAAGTTTCAAAATGTTTGGCGCAAAACTACATGTACTATTCCATTATTGGCTTTGAAATGTCTGAGATTCAAATATTTGGTAGTAATTTAGTACGTGATTAATTTTTGTGAATGCTTTATAGGTTCAGAGAAATTAATGTACTACAGTGTTTGGAACTTAT